GGTCGTGAGTGAAGAAAATTTCCCAAGGGATTAACACACACACACACACACACACACACACACACACACATGAGCTTCACAATTTTTGTAGAAAAATAGATTTAAAAGATAATGTAATTTTCTACAAACAGTTGAAGACTTCTTGTATATATGCAAATGGAGAGGATTTAAAATTAAAATTCTACCTGCCCTTGTATCCTAACATTTGGTAAACTTCTGGAATTGTGTACCTTGCCTTCCCACTAGTAGTCTTCTGTTTCCTTCTCTTACCACTTCTAAAAATATGAAGTTGTAAAGAATTCATTCATTTAAAATAAATCCATTGAAAATCCATGAATGAAGCTGAGAGAAAGAGTATTTAAGGTGACCAACCACCAGATCAGATTTATAATGCAGGTCATTTGTATTTTTGAAATACTAATTTCATGTAATTATCTTACAATTTGAGGTAGGTGGATAAAGGATAAAATGACACATTTTAAAAATCTTTTCCGTCCATGGTGGGTACTATAGCAGTGAGTGTGAACCTACAGTGAGGGATCAGCAGTGCTCTCCGTCAGTGCGCCTTCAGGGAGCGGAGGATTTATGACTTGGTTTTAAATGACCCTCATGGTTCCTGAGGGGAGTCATAATTTTTTAATCAGGCACAGCTGCCATTTAATAAAAGCCAACTTTGCTAGGCTAGGTCAGTGGCTGTATGCTTAACAGCTTCCTTGATAGTTTTGTGCATGTTTTTCTTTTAAGCTTATTCACATGTCTGGACATTCTTTGACTTAAAAAAAAAAAGCTAACTAACATACTATAGAGCAGGGGAATGGGATATTTAGGTTATAACAAATATTTGATAATAGTTACTTTAAAACGTTCAGTCCCAAAGTGGCTATGAAATGATCCTATTGACGTCATTCTGTTTTGAATATCTTCATTAAAGACACAAGGATGAAAAACTAGCATGAGCCAAAATTTTCAACACGAAGGATCCAAACTTATGTAAAGCTTCGCAATGTTCACTGAGGTCCAGTTATGACAGGGACATAACTCTTCTTTTCCCTCTGTTTTTAAAATGGTTTATATCCAAGTGTTCTAAGTTACATATCGAGTCACAGTGGTCAAGAATTCCTTTGAAATTATGTCACTTATTTTCATGTGTGACCTAGCATGATAAAAGGCATTTCTAAATTTTAAAACACATTCTAAAGTATGAGGAACAAAGAGCTATATTGTTATAATGGTTTGTGCAATGTTGCTTTGATACTTTGTCTTGAGATTCCATCTACAATAACACTGTTATGGAATAACAGTTCTGGTTCAACCCTCCCTCCACATACTCAGGAAATTGTACTCATTCCTATGAGGTTATTCATGTGGGGGCATAAACATGTTACTTATTTCCATGTTGACTTATGACAAGACGTGGAGTTTGCCATGTATGGGATATAATATTTAATTTCTGATATGAAACTTTAAAATTCTTCCTGTCTGCACTTATAATCATGGAGACATACATTAACAGGACATCTTATGATGGTAAAGTTAATGCCTATCTGGATCTTGAATAACTCTGAATAGAAAAATATGACCTGAGAACCTGCATTGCACACATAGAGTAATTAAATAGCAAACAAACACGTTTTTTCTATTGTGAAACTTTGAGATTTGATGCTATTTGATATCTGGCCTATTTTGAGTCCGACATATTCAAATTTTAATTTATTCCTAACCATCAAGCTAAGTGAGTTACTCTTATTTTAAAAAAAATGTCTGGAAGTGGTTATTTTAAAAATATAGAAATGAGTAATCTGCACATTTCAGTTGTACCCACTATTTTAACCATGTTTTTATTTCAATTGTGAATTATACAATTATTTCCTTTGGCCTATATACTACATTAAGAAAAACTGACACGATGCACCAAACGTAGTAATCAAAATGATATTTTCCATGTCACTCTAGATGGCACTAAGATAAGAACTGAAGACCGGGAGCTTAATCTAACGTCACTGAGTTTACTGTGAGGAGAACTATGTAGCTCTAACCTTTACACTCCTGTTCCCATATCGTATTCTACCACCTGCAACACTATAAACAGAAGAGTCTTGCCGGATGGGAGCCATCTGCAACATAACTCATCTCTTCAAAGGATGGCTAGATTTAAGTGTTATCATGTCTTCCAATGTGCAATATATTTTAGTTATTACTTTTAAATAATCTCAGTTTTCTCTTTTGCACACTGGTTAAGACTTTAAAGAACATATATCAAAATCACTTGGTTCTTCTGCTTATTGAATCGCCAGAAATGTTTAGTTTGAAGATCTGCTTCTATAGTTTTTGCATTAAACAGTGTAATTCAAACATGTTTCTTTGTAGCAAGTGACGGTCATGTATGAGAGCAATTTTCAATGCATTATTCAAAAATTAGCTTGCGTATTTTTTTTACTATTCTGCTTAGCTCCTCCAGGATTAACAAAAAATCATGCCACTGTTATTGATGCCCTAATTCGTATTTTACCTGCTGCGAATGAAAAATATACACTAATAGGAGAGCACAAACAGTGGTAATGGTACCAAATTTCCTTATTTCAATATTTATCTTTTGTGGATAGATGTAGGAGTTTTCTTTTTGCTTTTTAATGAGAACTAAAATAAACTATCTTCACTAGGGTATAACAAATGTTAAAATTATCATGCAATCTCTACCATATGGTGCTGAAATAATGGTAGAAATAGGTTGTTGATCAGCAGATACATTCTCATTAGAATTTCACCATTTTTAACAGCGCAGATGAATATTCTTTGAAACAGTTTGTTCTAAAGATGTTTTCTTGGCTATGATAGGAGGTTTTAGAGTTTCATGGATTATTGATACAGCACTGTGAATTGAATAAAACTTCGATTGCATTTTCCAAGGTGCCAGCATCCTAATCTATAAATATATTTACATGTTTATTTAATCTATATCATAAAGTGAATATAACAAATGCATGGCACGCTTTTTAGGACTTTCTTCACATGTCTCCATATTACTATCTTTTTAAAGTAAGTAAGCAGAAAATGCTCAGAGTTCTGATGATGCTTATGGCTGGCTACTGAGGCATTGATAGCTTCCTCACCAGGAGACATAACTATAAAATAATTTACAACAGTATATTGGGCATTAGACATTAGAAGTACAAGAGGACTTCAAAAGTTTTCTGGCAAAATGAAATCAATAGATAATATAATTTTTTCAAAAAACTTTTTGAACCCCCACTTAAAAACAGGAGAAATGAACTAGGGTTAAATGATGTAAGCCTTAGGTATATATTTGACTAGTATCCCTTGGAATAACAAATATAAAGTAGATCCTTATATGTTAGTTAAAAGAACATTACAAATAAAGTGAACATATGAATGAACACAAAATGAACATCCTCATGTTACCACCCACCACCATAAAACACAACCAACATTTCAACACAGAGAATATACATGATAGACTATTGAATTGGGGGCAGGAAGTATTCACATTTAATACATACTTGGGTTTGTAAAACAAATGTGAAAATGTTCAGTTTAAAAAAAAATAATATTCCAACACTTATCTTAAAATCCAATGGCACCAACAACAGAGTAATATCCATACAACTATAAGATGACCGGTCAATATGGTTCATGTACAATTGGTTTCCTGTTGGGCAGCTATCTGTAAGGTCAGCCATTGAAATCTGCCAGTATGTCCTCTGGAGAAAGTCGGGGCTTGTTCCTGCCATAAGCCTGGAGGAGGAGTCCACACCTGGTACTGCACAGTGGCTAGGAGGCAGCTTCCACTCAACAGTAGGGAGCTTGATTTGGGTTGTGAGGCATGCATCCACCACTAGTACTAAAGATGAAGAGACTAAAGATTTTAGCTACTGTTGACCATTTGAAATTGGTCACTCGTGTAATTGACACATTGATAATTACAGGTGATTGGCATGTGTGAGTTGGAAAGATAGTTGGAAAATGTGGTCTTGGTAACAGAGAGAATGCTACAAGAGGTCATATAATAGAATTTGGCAAGACCAATGGCCTACTCATTGGAAATACCAGTTTTCAACAATATAAATGGTGAGGTTACACATAGATGAGTTGGATAGAGTACACAGGAATTAAGCCGACTCCCTCTGTGGAAAGACAGGATGGAGAAGCTCAGTGTTCTCAATTAGTAAAATTCCAAGGGCTGACCGTGGGACCTAGCATCCATTGCTCATGTTACTGCAAATCAAAGTTGAGGAAATGAAAACAGGTTGATGAAAATCAAAGTGTGATCATCAGTATATGTCACCTGAATTTAGAACACATCTCAACAACAGATTAGAAAAATTGAACAGAAATGCCTGTAGGTCATATTAGTTATGGGAAAACATTAAGAAAGCAAAAGGCCTTTTATAAAAGAGGAAAGAAAGAACCCAAAACAAACTTTCAATGTTGTTCACTAGCACAATTTTTCATATGCATCATTTTGGGGGGGTTCTTCCTCACTCAATGTTCAACTTTTGAATGCTTATGAAAGGATTGTAAATACTATGGTTTGGGCCAGGTGTACCATAGTCTTCAAAGACAAGCCTTTGCAGCAAGTTACCCAATGCAATGGATGGTTTGATCTCTTGACTACTGCCCCATGAGCACTGATTATGGATCCAAGCAAGAAGAAACCATGGGCAGCTTCAATCTTTTCCCTATTTCTCATGATGATCTTGGTCCAGTTTTGAAGATATTGATCTCTGCATTGAGCTGTAGTACATACTAAACTCTGCGACACTTGATCTCCATCAGCAAGTTCTCCAAATCCTGACTTTTAGCAAGCAAGATGTGTTATCTGTATAATTTACAGGTTGTTACTAAGCCACCCTGCAATCCTGGTGCCTTGTTCTTCCTTATGTAAGCCTGCTTTTTGTATTTTTTGCTCAGCACACAGATTGAATAAGCAGGGAGAGAGGATGAAGGCCTGACTAACACTATTCTTGATTTTTTCTTAAAGGTCCTGTTTGCAGTAGTATACACGATCACCAAACTACTACTAGAATGTTCACATCTGTTACTGCAAATTTCAAGCCCAAGGGAGCGCCCCGAGCACTTGCTGTAGGTCATGGTGGGGCTGTCTGGTACCAGGCTGCACTCACACTTTTCTTGAATTCAAATCATACAGTATTCATTTCTTCATTCTGTTAGAATGATTGCCTCTTGGTCCAGGTGCATTGCACATTAGCACAGAGAGGTATTATGGAATACCTATCCCCCCCAATATTATCCATCATTTGTTCTGATAAACATCGTTAAATGCTTTGGTATAGTAAAACAAATGTATTAAATTCCTTCATTTCCCTAGTCCATCCCATCTCCTGTTTTCTCAGAAATTTCTCTACATCACTGTTCAATAACTTCTTTCTTCATAACTGTCCAATCCTCTTTGTTCAATCTTACTGTCATCTGGTGGTCCGACTCCCTGTTTCTCTTTGAAAGTGAGAAGATCAGATGGAACCTTCCTCACAGTCACCTACCCGCCAAAAGATCTCCTGCTAGCAAACACCCCTTTTGTTTTTGTATTAGCCAATGCTTCTTCTCCACTGAAAAATCATTTTTAGAATATCAGATGCACTATCAATCTATATTAAGAAAATCAATTGTGTACCACACATTTTTATTTCATAAAAAAGTCCCTTTGCAGCCTTGGTTGTGGAAATAGCCATGCACTCAGCAGCTAACCCCGAAGGGGAGGGCTTCAGTCCACCTCCAGGTGTCTGGGAAGAGAGGGCTGGAAATCTGCTTCCCAAAATTTACCGACTGAAAACCCTGTAGAGCACAGTCCTATTATGACATACATAGCATCCCCATTAATCAGACTTAGCTGGAAGCCAACAGGCTGGTTAAAGAATTTTCTTATAATTGCTAATTTCCTGGAATCTCTCTACCCTCCTAATAATAATAAAAAGGGTCTTGCTTCTATTGTATCACTAACTCAATTTTCATTGCTAATGATGGCATGAGTGGTTATCTATCTGATTTCCAACTCCGAATTCATTTTTGAAATATTACTGGTAGAGACACCTATCTGTGTCCATTCCAAGAAAGGATACCTAACACCATGTAAAAAATAGTGAATAACATCAATAATATCACACGCAAGAAAGGTTCTGAAACAGATTATAAAAAAATGACTGCAGTTAACAAAATTATTTCATGAACAAGGAACTACCAGATATTCATGTCAAGTGCAGGAGGGTATGGAATGAGCAATATGATTGCTGACAACAGATGGATCATGGCTCAAAACAGAAAATACTAGAAAAAGTTTTACTTGTATTTTACTGACTACGTAAAGGAATTAGAGTGATCTGGATGGTAAATTTTTGAAAATGAAAATAACAGAACCTTAAGTTTGCTCAAGTTGACCCTATCCATAGATCATTTGAGAAAAACTAGGAATCATTTTATGGTTTAGATTTAGTAAAAGCACGCATCGGGGCTGTATTCTTTCACCACACTTCCCCAATATGTATGTCGAGCAAGTAATTCAAGAAAGTGGACTACATGAAGGCTCATAAACAACCTACAACTTAGGTGACCAGTAAGCCCATACATTGGGTTATTAAAATATATATTCAGAATAATTTTATTAGCACATATAAATAAAACACACTAGTAAAAATTAAAGAAAGATTTAAGGTTATTAGTGTTATCTTCATAATAGAAATAACATCAGCCCCAAATTACTATTTTACTTACTATTTTTAATAATTTCATGAACATTTTTGCATATGAGTTCTAGGATGTTCGTATAGTTGCATTTTATAATTAATGCATTAAATGTTCTTGACCACTTCAATTTACTCTTTGAGAACAAAATGTTAAAGAAAGGTATTCTGAGCTCTGTGTTTTGACTGAAGTGCATACACATATTATGTCAATTATTTAAAAAATACATTATTGTCAGTTTTCAGAGTCCTTTCCTTTCACAGCTATTTTTATAGGATAAAACTTGTCAAGTTTTATCTATTTGTGATTCTTCTATCTTACCAAATTTGCATGCTGCAAAACCTTAGACCTTTCCAATTTCATTCTATAGCCAAACAGAACATAAATGCATTCAAAGTAAACAGAAACTCTATCAAAATATTGTTTCCACACATATATCTTACAACAGCAAGGAATTCCAAAGTAAATCTTGAATGTTCTCCATATTCATTCAGTTTACCCATGTTTTGTGAGAATACAAGTTAACATCATCCTGTTTGCATACTGTGTTTCATTTACTGTGATTTGTTCAGAGCTTTAGAAATGGATGGTTTGTGGTACCCCATTCATTAATACACACTTGATTAAACATTCCAGTTAATTTTGAAATAAATGGAAATAAAATGTTACAAAATAATTCAATGCCAGTGTAAGAAACTTAGTCGGACTTATTAATTTATTACCATTATTATTGACTCAAATTTATCTTAAATTAATGTTGAACACCAAAGGGAAAAATCTATGCTACCAAGACCAAGTATTATTTTGTATTTACTATCAAGGTCATTAATATAAAAGAATTCAGAGTTATTCTATGTCATCATATAAATTAAATTGACTACCAAGTCTTTTATTGAAGTTTCTGGGATAATATAGCTTGCTTGAGTACATGGGTAAATTATGTGCACAAAAATCAAAAGCAGGATATTTCCATTTCATAGATTATATAATGTAAAGTTTCGTATTTTAACCATGCAATATTAAACTTTTATTCCTATATGATTTTTATCCGAATTTCTACATTAAGTTCCTGTCATATATTTCAATTAATGGTTCACAACAGCTGTAATTGGATTTAATGCATTGTATGTAAAAAGCAAGACTATTATAACTGTCTTTCCATTGGAAGAATTGGTTATGCTATGGGCTAGTTCTTGAAGCGCTAACTACAAGGCGGCCAGCCAGCCAAGACCACCAGCTGCTCTCACCAAGATAATTGAGCCTAGCTGATTCTACAGAGACTTTCAGTCCCTGAAGCCATACGGATGGTCACTGTACGTTGCAATTGAATCTAGTCAAGTTTTGTTTTGGACTGTGTTAAAAACCTTATTTTTATTAGTGTTGTTTTATAATAGAAAGTTGCTATGAGTTGGAATCAACAATTTTGGTGGCCTTCTGGTTTTTAGTACTTTGATCATTTTTTACTTCAACCTTTCAATTGAAACAGCTTTCTTTTCTAAATCCAATGAGCCCGAACACCTCCGTGGCTTACCCATTGGCCTGCTGACCAGGCTCAGCCACTTGAACCCACCAGCCTCTTGAAGGGAGGCCGATGCACCTGTCTCCTGTCTGCCTCCAAGACAATTTGAGCCTCAGAAACCCCACGGCGAAGTAGTTCTGGGTCTCACAGTCTCACTGAGTCATAATTGACGTGGTGATAGGGGTTCTGAATAATAAATGGAATCAGCTTCATTCGCATGCTATTTCTATGACCTTGAGGAATTCATTGTTTTATTTGCAATTTATCTTTACTTCAATTGCTTTATGAAAATTATTTTTAAATAAAAAATTTACTTCGCTGTAGTAACACAGCATATACCATAAAGAATTTTTAATGAGCAATTTTTCTCCTAAAACTTTATATTGTCTCATGTTGAACCTTCCAATACAGAAACCACGGAAGTAGCTCAAATAATGTAATGTTTTCATCGTAATCTAACAAATGCATAAATTGAGTTATGCTAGAAACATCTGTATACTCACTGAGCTACACAGCAAACGTTTCACACGTAATTTATCTTTATATTTGTTTGTTCAAACTTTACTGTTTATCTTTATTAATTTTTCCATGAAATATTTGCTGAGAAAAGATGTGATTTTGGCTCATTTTATGTAATTTTGTATATATTACTTCAGGTGTTTATACTTGCAAGAAAGAACAAAGGTTTTCAAAATGCCATCAGGCGGTAAGGGGAAATGGTTTCTTCATCTTCTCCTCTTCTTCCCCTTCCTCTTTGTGTTTCACTGTACATGAGATCCCTCGAAATACTATTATTATGTTTAGTGAGGATGTGTAAAATATTTGTTTTAATTATGATTTTCTTAATGTAAACTTATGTTCCCTGTGACCTGGATAACTCGTTCTCAAAAGCCTACCTAATTGTTATGCTTTCATAGTAACTTTGGGTGCAAATTACACAAATGAGGAGGTTTGCTATAAATAAAGGTGAATCAAACTTCAAAAAATCTTGCCAGGTTCTAAATTTGGGCCAGGTGTCCTGGTCTGTCTAAATTCCAATTTTCTTTTGGTCTAAACCCAGTTAACAAAGAATTTAAAATAAAAGTAGGTAAGGCAGTCATTCTGCTATCTTGTTATCTACCTATACATATATTGTTCTAATTATTTCTATTTGTAGTTTATTTTCAATAAAATAATTTGAGACACTTGTTCATTTGATGACCATTACATTACATAATCCAAATTTAGAAGCACGTTTAAATTGTAATATGCACAAATGCTGAATGTAAATGGGTTGAAGGTGGTTCTGTCAAACTCTGAACAATGTAGATTGTCTACTTTCCTTTCAGGGAAATGCAGACATCATATAGAATGACAGATTGGATCATGCATGACCTACAGCTCTAGTCACAGAACCAGTATCAATGCATGCATTAAATAGTCTAAAAACCAAAGTAGAATACTTCATTCCACACCCACTGTATCTAGTTGGTCATCCCCTGGATACACACTTATGAAAAGTTTGTGGGGGTGGGGGTGGGGGGACATTTGACCTCTTCTGACTTCAAAAGGAGAAAGGAGAATCAAACCCCACATTAGTCCAAACTTCTCATCAATTCTGGTACCACTATCCCTCCTAAGGCCCCTGTCCATCTCTGCTGAGTTCCACAATTCATTATATAGGCCTCATAAAACTCACAGAGAGTACAGTGAACCCTCGTTTATCGCGGTTAATCGGTTCTAGACCATAGCGTGATAAATGAAATTCCACGAAGTAGGATTCCTTATTTGTAAATCAAATATTTTCGTAGTTAGAGCATAGAGGACATGAAAAAACACCCTTTTGTCACCATTACACTCATATTACCCAATTTATTAAACGAAAAAGGGAAAATACAGTAAAACATTTTGGGCATTACAATGATCATTTATTATTTATTATATTATTTATGGCATCTAGTTTACAGTATTACA